CAAGTTTGACCTAATTTTCAAACATTTTATCAGTGTTGCTAACTTTTGAAGGAGCGAAAATAGGGTATTCATATTCGACACGTGCAATACTTGTGACAAACATTTCCAAATGTACTATTATTTTTAACCCCATGACCTTGAAGTTTGACCTAATTTTAATTTAATTGATAACTTTTGAATGAGAGAAGGTATGACATTTACATTTGACAATGCCTGTTTCAAAACCTTTCCGATTGCATACTCTGGTTTTTGATATTATTTTTCACATGTGCATTGTGAACAAGAGGCCCATGGGCCACAATGCTCACCTGAATAACTTTGGCCCTGCTGTTCCTCACCAGATGATCTTTTTGTAATACTTATTGTGGCCCCGCCCTACCCACGGGGATCACGATTTTAACAATTTAAAATCTACACTACCCTAGGATGTTTCCATATAAGTTTCAGCTTTACTGGCCAAGAGGTTCTTGAGGAGAAAATTTTTGAAGATTTTTTCTATATATTTCAATGTAAAACTTGGATTCCCTATTGTGGCCCCGCCCTACACCCAGGGGTCAAGATTTGAATTCTTTAGAATTTATGCTGCCCCAGGATGCTTCTACAAAAGTCTTAGCTTTTCTGACCAAGTGGTTCTTGAGAAGAAGATTTTTTTTCAATATATTTCAATATAAAAATTGGATTTCCTATTGTGGCCGCGCCCTGCCCCCAGGGGTCAATTGATTTGAACAATTTAGAATCTACACTACCCCAGGATGCTTCCACATAAGTTTCAGCTTTTCTGGCCCAGTGGTTCTTGAGAAGAAGATTTTTAAAGATTTTTTTTCTATATATTTCAATGTAAAACTTGGATTCCCTATTGTGGCCCCGCCTTTGCCCCGGGGGTCATGATTTTAACAATTTAGAATCTACACTACCCCAGGATGCTTCCACATAAGTTTCAGCTTTTCTGGCCCAATGGTTCTTGAGAAGAAGATTTTTAAAGATTTTTTTTCTATATATTTCAATGTAAAACTTGGATTCCCTATTGTGGCCCCGCCCTTGCCCCGGGGGTCATGATTTTAACAATTTAGAATCTACACTACCCCAGGATGCTTCAAAGTAAGTTTCAGTTTTTCTGGCCCAATGGTTCTTGAGAAGAAGATTTTTAAAGATTTTTTTTCTATATATTTCAATGTAAAACTTGGATTCCCTATTGTGGCCCCGCCCTTCCCCCGGGGTCATGATTTTTACAATTTAGAATTTACACTACCCCAGCATGCTTCCACATAAGTTTCAGTTTGTCTGGCCAAGTGGTTCTTGAGAAGATTTTTAAAGATTTTTTCTATGTATTTCAATGTAAAACTCAGATTCCCTATTGTGGCCCCGCCCTTTCCCCGGGGGTCATGATTTTAACAATTTAAAATCTACACTACCCCAGGATGCTTCCACATAAGTTTCAGCTTTTCTGGCCCAGTGGTTCTTGAGAAGAAGATTTTTAAAGATTTTTTTCTATATATTTCAATGTAAAACTTGGATTCCACATTGTGGCCCCGCCCTATCCCCAGGGGTCATGATTTGAACAATTGGAATCTACACTACCCCAGGATGCTTCCAAGTAAGTTTCAGCTTATCTGGCCCAGTGGTTCTTGAGAAGAAGATTTTTAAAGATTTTTCCTATATATTTCAATGTTAAACTTGGATTCCCTATTGTGGCCGCGCCCTACCCCCAGGGGTCATGATTTGAACAATTTAGAATCTACACTACCCCAGGATGCTTCCACATAAGTTTCAGCTTTTCTGGCCCAGTGGTTCTTGAGAAGAAGATTTTTAAAGATTTTTCCTATATATTTCAATGTAAAACTTGGATTCCCTATTGTGGCCCTGCCCTACCCCCAGGGGTCATGATTTGAACAATTTAAAATCTACACTACCCCAGGATGCTTCCACATAAGTTTCAGTTTTTCTGGCCCAGTGGTTCTTGAGAAGAAGATTTTTAAAGATTTGTCCTATATATTTCTATGTAAAACATTGATTCCACATTGTGGCCCCGCCCTACCCCCGGGGGTCATGATTTGAACAATTTGGAATCTACACTACCCCAGGATGCTTCCATATAAGTTTCAGCTTTACTGGCCCTGTGGTTCTTGAGAAGAAAATTTTTTAATGACCCCACCCTATTTTTGTCTTCTCTTGATTATCTCCCCTTGTGAGGGGACTTGGCCCTTCATTTTAACAATTTAAATTCCCCTTCACCAAAGTATGCTTTGTACCAAGTTTGGTCAAAATTGGCCCAGTGGTTCTTGAGAAGAAGTCAAAAATGTGAAAAGTTTACAGACGGACGGACAGACAGACAGACGGACAGACAGACAGCTAGACGGACAGACGGACGGACGGACGACGGACAAAATGTGATCAGAAAAGCTCACTTGAGCCTTCGGCTCAGGTGAGCTAAAAAACCTTTCGAATTGTATAAGATTTGACCTCATGACATTGATGTTGAAGTTTGATTTAGTTTTGAGAAGTTATAGTCTTTGCCACAACTGTTATTAATTCAATAATTTATGTCTTATTGTGAGATGCATAGACAATACAGGACACACAAACAAGAAAGTTACAATATCCATAAATAATGGTCTCCCATCCACTAAGACACCGAAAGCGAATTTGCTTGTTCATTTTAACTTTGACCTTGGAGTTAGACCTACTTTAAAAAAACTTTAACCCTGGCCATAATTAGGGCTTTTATAAAACACGTGTATTCCTTGTGACAAAACTTTCCCTTGGGTACAAACAATTTGACATTGACCTTGAAATTTGATCTCCTTTTGAAAAACTTTCACCTTTGCTAAAATTCATATTAAATGGTTGGTACATGGGCTTTTGCAGCAAGATTTTTTTAACTTTTGATCTTGGAGTTTGACTAGTACTTGCATTTAAAAAAAATGTTAACCATGACGATAAGCTGTAATACTGTGGCATCAGTGTTTCAAAAAACTCATCTTGTTTTAAGTTCAAAGCCAATATCATTCAACGGATAAATAATAGTATCTCAGAATGTAATTAAGCAATGGAAGCTATGAAATTATCTAATCAAATTTAGAGTTTTTATTTTGTTCGAGGTTTTTGAGGCTTTCGGCAGTTTCTAAGTGGAGTGGACATAATATTAGTTGAGCGGCTCCAGGGAAAAGCTGAAAAAAGCTAACGGACTAAATTTACACACAACTGGATGAAAGTACAAGGCGATAACAATAGGTCACCTGAGTGGCACATGTGACATAAAAAGAAAAATTTTAAAACGTATAATGAACTTTAATATATAAGTGATTATCATGGCCATGCTGTCATTGGATATTTCTAGCCTCTCCCAGAAACGTTGATCAATTGTTGTGCCCCCCCCCTTACCCCTGGGACATGATTTAAATGTGAATCTGCTCTACCCCAGGATGCTTGCATACTAAATAATAATCATGGTCCTGATCGTAAGAAGAGGATTAATATTTTAAAACTTTTTTATGCCCCTATAATCGAAGTCCTTCCGTCCGTCTTTCTGTTTGTCCGTAAAATTTTAACCTTGGCTTTAACTTCTGATCGGTTAGAGCTATGGCTTTCATATTTCACGTGTATTTCTTGTAACAAGACCTTTCTTTTGTTACCAACATTTGACCTCTTGACCTCGGAGTTTGACCCACTTTTTTTATTTTACCAAACATTAACCTTTGACATAACTTTTGAACAGTTGAGAGAGGGCTTTCATACTTCGCACGAGTATTCCTTGTGACAAGACCTTCCTCTGGGTACAACAATTTTGACCTTTTAACCTTAAAGTTTGACTTACTCTTGAAAAAACTTTAACCTTGGCCACAACTTTTAAACGCTCGGTGTATTGGCTTTGATATATCACAAGTGTAATTCTTGTGACTAGACCTTTCCTTGGGTACAAAAAACTACAAAGATTTTTTACTTTTAGACCTTTGGAGTTTGACATACTTTTGAAAAACTTGAACATTGGGCCATTGGCAATACGTTTTGAGAAATTCACACCAGGGCTTTCATATTTCACATGTGTATTCCTTGTGACAAGATCTTTCCTTGGGTACCAACAACTTTTTCCTTGGAGTTTACCTAACTTTTGAAAAACTTTAACCTTGGCCATTAGTTTTGAATGGTTAAAACTTGGGCTTTCATACATCACATGTGTATTTCTTGAGACAAGACCTTTCCTTGAGTACCAACAATTTTGACCTTGCATGGCCTTGGAGTTTGACCTACTTTTGAAAACGCTTAACTTGGACATAACATTTGAACGGTTGGTGCTCTGGCTGTCATATTTCATAGGTGTATTCCTTGTGACAACACCTTTTTAAAGTACCAATTTTTGAACCTCATGACGTTAACCTTGGAATTTTATCTAATTTTGAAAATCAACCTTGGCCATAATTTCTGAATGGTTGATGCAAGGGCTTTACTTTATTACACAGGTGTATTCTTTGTGACAAGATCTTTCTTTGGGTACTAAGATTTTTTATGTCTTGACCTTGGAGTTCGACTTGCATTTGAGAAACTTTAAACTTCTCCATGAACTGTAATACGGGGCATCAGTGTTTCACAAACACATCTTGTTTCTTATATTTTCAAATGTTAAACTTTTATCCTTTTTGGGCAAGCCCCATCCCTAGCGGGTCATGCTTAGAACATATCTGAAATTACGATATGTAAGAAAGCGTTCATATAAATTTATCATTTCTGACATACCAACTGGTTCTTGAGAGGAAGATTTTTAAATTACATTTTCAACATTTCTTAATTATCTACCCTTGAAAAGGTTGTGGCCCTTCGTTTTGAAAATACTTGAATCTCCTCCATCCAAGAATGCTTCATGCAGGTAAATTTGAATTTTGCCAAGTGGCTCTAGAGAAAAAATTAAAAGTTTGTGCACAATATACACACACAGAATGTAAATTAAAAGGTCACCAGAGTTGGGCGACTAAGTGTATCCAGTTCAAAAACAACATACAATGAACCTCAGTGTAACAAACATTTTATTAAGCTTTCAAAAACAGATAAAAAATACATATATCAATAAACATAACGACCTTTTGACAAAACTGATTTCAATCACCGGTAAGCAAGACATTAAAATAAGGGGGGAAAAAATCCAACAGAAAAAACATGTAATATCAAGTTCATTTTAAACCGTTTTTTTTTTTTAATCTTTAATGAAGCAACTTACTTTAATACTTGACTAGATTTGGTGTTGTTTTTCATCTGTTGCAATAATAGCAATTGGAAATAGAGGTGAGCGGAATTTATGTGCAAATTCAATAACTCCTAGCACCAAAAAACTATCATTTTTCTCTCTCCAATTTTAGATAATTTTAGATTGTGTCATAAATGGAGGTATTAAGAATGTACATCGCTAAATATTATCGAACTATACTATGGAGTCATCCGATCGTTCTGTGTTCAAAATTTGTAGGAATTCGGCAAGACTCCGGGCACGCAAGAGAAAAAAAAATCATATGTGATTTATACAGATTTTTCATAATCTAGTCATTGACTAGAACACGTTCTAGGTATTTATGAAATAGCCTGAATGTACCATACTTGGTTTGAACAGAATATGTATTTGAGTATAGTCATGCGAGGAAATTAATGCAAAATTCGTGTCTGTATTTTTTTCTTTTATTTGGGTCTTCTCTCCACGAATTCGAAATGCGTTAGGAGTGTTTTATTTTTTTTTTTTAAATCATATTTTTAAAGAATACAGAGATGTCCCAGAGATAGTCAAAAATATACTTTCTCGTTTAGGTTTTTCTGAACAAATAAACTATTGCGTAGGGAAATATCGCATCAAATAATAATACCAGTAATTTATATTCCTAGAGGAACATGCAGGGTTTTTCAGACAGCTAAATCGGTTTCCTTCTTGACACTGCATTGTACAGTAATAAACATGTACACTACAAGTAGTACTACCATTTCGAAACTTTTTAAACAAACAAAACTACATAGACATAAGCAATAAATCTGTTTAAGTTGCTGAATTCCCAGAATATCATCAGATGTACAGGTAATTTACTTTGTTTCTCTCGTGCATACGCATAGTATAATTTGTGATTGAATGGGGGTTGACAAATCAAGAAAAATAAATTACCTGTACACACATTTCATCAAGGGTAGCTCAATTCACACTGCTAGTCTTCCGTCTATTAAATATGAAATACATGTAGATATTTTGATTCAACTTTCTTCATTTATTCTATATTCGAAGAAATTTTTAGTTACAAGTATAATTTTTAGAGAGCCTTACAGGAGTTTGATTATTGTGCTGGTCAGTGATAAATTAATTATGATAAAATTAGTAATGGTTGAGGTTTAGCATGCCTGATAGACTTTTATTTAAAAAAAATATACATACATATATGTACAAATTTGGGGTTTTTGCCTTTTAATTTTTAATTAAAAATTATTTATCCTATATCCTGGTACACAAAACTATGAAAAAAAAACTTTGGAAAACCGTCAGAAATAACTACTCTTGTGATTTTGAAGTTGGTGCAATAGTAGAACACCGGCAATTTTTTCAGTACACTTACGAGTTCAAACTTTCATCAGAAAGTCTTGCAGTAAATTGAACTCGTTGAACTGCAATGTGACATTGGATTTGAATACAAAACGTAATTGAATATATACATATAGTTCTAGATTTCTGTTTGAATTTGACATAAACAGATTTTTAATGTACAGCATAGGCAGAAGCATTTGTTTAAATAAATACCAGATGTCTCTGATGAGACTGTAGCTCTACTGGTTTGTACTTATCATAAAGGAAGAGAAAAAGTAGCATAGGACTCCAAACTTTGGAACAGCAATAAACAGAATAATGATCCTTGGTCAAGTCTCTTTTTGTAGCAAGATTTATTGCAATCAGACTAAAACTGTAGAGGAAGTCTTCTGAGATATTTTACAGAAATTTCTATTCTTAGTAACCATGGTAAAACCGTTTATCGAAATAAAAAAACAATATATTGAATTCATGTGTAGCCTACTTGTGTGCCAAGTTATATTGGAATCAGACCAAAACTGTAGGACGAGTAGCATTTCGAAAAATTGATACAGATAGACGGACGGACGACGGACATACTACTATCGCATATGCTCTTCTGGTCTCTGATCAGTAGAGCTAAAAAACGGACATAATCTTCATTCAACTAATTTTTACATGGCATAGAGCAAAAGTTGCTAAAATTCTACAAGCATTTGTGTAAAAATAATTCTTCCTGTATATACTTTTGCACGATTACAAATTAGGATGGGCACCACATTTACCTTTTAAATTTTAAATCTTACCCTTATTTATACTTTTTCATTCTTTTTAAATGCTTCACATTCCATTTCATCTACTTTTTTTGAAGAATGTTGTGTTTTACTACCTGAAATGGTTATTATGTATAAAACAAGGGGCAGAAAAAAAACTGCATGAAGTAATCCTATAATAACAACTAGAAACATAACTTTTCCAAAAGAGACAAACACGTAGCTGTTGGAAAAAGCTAACATTGAGATTCCAAGCAAAGACGACAAAGCCGCATTAATTACAGGTCCTCCAGACTTATCAAGAGCTTTTTTAATTACATCCTCCTCCAGTCGGACAGATAAAAATGCATGAGAAACATGTACACTAAAATCCACTGAAAATCCAACACTCATAACGAGATGGATCATTGTGATTGAACTCAATGTAAGATTCCAGTAGTACATGAAACCAACAACACCAAGGAGAATGCTGATTAGATTTAGAGCTACAATGATTACAATTATAGGTTTTGGCATTAGCAAGGATGTTACAACCAACATGGCAACAATGGCTATGCCCACAGTTTTTAAAGTACTTGGCATTATCTGGACGTACTGTTCATAAAAAATAAAAGCTGGCGCATAGAAAAAACAGGAGATTCTACCATTCTTTGATATCGCTCGGAGTTGAAGCATTAAAGACCCTCGAGAATCAGTAGTTTTTAAATCCTTGGCTTTTAAATAAAATTTTGAAGACAGAATTTTAGTTCCACTTGCATCAAAAACTATATCATTTGAAAATATTTTTGCATAGCTTAAAAATGTACGCAGACCATTTACAAATTGTGACTCAGATTTATTACTATAAAAGGGAGATAGCTGATATTGTTTTAGCCAATTAATTTCAAAGTTTCCATCTATACCCGAACATTTCTTAGCTTTGGCCAATATATTCATAATAATGTTTTGGGTTGATTTAAGTGAATAATTTTCTTCCTGTTTTATACACAATGTTATTGGTGGATCAGCTCTGAAATACTCTTCCTCCCATTTGCTGTACTTATGAAAATAAGAATCTTCCGCAACTAAATTAAACGTACTCAAACCTTGCTCAAAATTTACTGTCCCGTAAATAGACAAGCTTAAATATATTGCAAATGAAATGCATATGGCAATTTTTCCTGCACTATATGATAATAATTTGATAGCAATTTGTTTCGGATATTTTTCCAGGAAACTCTCCACATCCTCTCGTTTCTCCGGGATGCTACCAGAGGAACAATTCTTTTTCTGCTCATCCCCATCTGTTTCTTCCGAATTTAATTTTAAACAACACAAACAGTAATGTCTCTTTTGTTTCGTCCTAATCTCATTCAGGCAAATTGCCGGGGAAAAGAAAAATAATTGATTGAGATAGCAGAACAATACAGCAACACCTGCAAAAAAATTAGACGTTACTCAATGAATTATTTTGCAAATAAAACTTAATTTTTGGGGGGTGCTTTGGACCATAATTACCTGTATAAATACAGAAATTTCTAATGCTAATGAAGACAGAAGTTGCACCAATTAAAAACGCCAGCAGGTCTGTTATGGATGTAATTGTAATGGTTATTCCAGATTTTTTCAACATGTATTCCATCCTTTTCTCTACTGATGCAGTTTTCAGTGGTGGTGCATCTGCCATCCCAGACATCAATATAAACATGTCATCAATGCCTATTCCTGTAAAAAAAAAAATATACATAAATACTGTACATATTTTTGTAATAGATTTCGTAGATACTTCCTCTATAATAAACCCCAAAACACTTCAAATAGTAGGAAACTGGAAAATTATTGCAATACTATTGTGGTATGTTTATAAATATAGCAGCTTATACCTACCAACGATTAAAAACGGCATTACACCGACAATACTTGTAAATTTGACTCCGACTGCACTTAGAAATCCAAGAGCAGACCCAATCCCTAAGACTGGGGTTATCACTCCTGCTATTCCTAAATTTGCTCTGTTTCCAATGTTATTCAATTTCGATGATCCTGAAGCCAGACAAGCGTAAGTCATCATCAATGTAAATGTTATAATGAAATACTTCACATCACCATTTACATTTTTGTTAAGTTCTCTTCCTAGTGAATCTGAAGTTGCAAAAGCTATGTCGGTGTTGTTCGTTTTCAATTGAGAAATGCATTTTAAATATGTTCTTTCCCACTTTTTAGACACTGATGTATTTTGTCTGAGGTAATATCGCAATTTTACCCCAATTGTTGATACAAGTTTTCCATCTTTATCTTCAGCCTTTGCAAAATGAGAAGAAATCAGGTGAGAGTTGAAATAGGGAAAAGATACATTTCCAGAGACAAACTCTTTCTGGAAATTTGCCTTCAGAATGGTGCTACCACGAATGTGGCATCCAGTATTGTCCAATGCACATATTTCAGGGTATTTGTAAGACAAGCCACTCACATCCGTAAAATTTATTGAAGTTTGGATGTATCTATCAACATTATTCATTTCATCAATAAAAGTTTGGTTCATAATATTTAATTTATCCCTTGAAATAATCATAATGTCTGCATATCTCCCATATGTCGCTAGTTGATAAGACTGGAAATTACTTGTTGTTGGATCAGAATAGACATTTTTCAAAAAATCTCGGTCTTTGAATGCCTGACTGTTCTCTGGTGTGTACAAAATCTCAATATCATTTTCAACAGATAAATTTTTTATACCAATCAAAAGAGCAAGATTTACAACTATGCAAATAATGAGTATTTTTATTGGATGCCTCGAGACAAAACCACCAAATTTTTCAAATGCTCCGCCTACACATCCTTCATGCTTTTCATAAAAGCTTTTGCATTTCTCCATTTTTTTGCAGAATTTTGTTACCTGAAAAAAAGAAAAGAATTTCAAGCAGTCAAATCACTGACACCTTATATTTCATAATTTAGGATTGTGAGAAGATGCCGACTAGATGATCACTGTACATGTATGCTATTTGATGACACCATTACATTTAATTTAAATTTTCTATCCACTGATTAGTTTTCTGTCAAACGATCTAAATTAAGGTAAAGACAGTCATCACTGTTGCAAAACATGTGCCCATTCTATTTGTGGAAACAGAGTCGACACAAAAGCAGTGGCTTGAGAACGATAAGCATGTACAGTCGCTACATTTTTGTGAAAATGGATTGACAAAAAAATTTAAACTTGATTTGTACGCCATAAGTCAACAATATAAAGACATGTATTAGATATTAAGCCTATGCATAAGGTATAACAAGCAAATTCAAACAATTGTGGTTCCCCAATTTCGGTGTCCTAGTGGATGTGATGCCATTATTTATGGAATTTTGTAACTATCTTGTATGTGTCCCGCTTTGTCTCATACCAAACAAGACATAAATTATTGAATTAATAACAGTTATGGCGAAGACTATAGCTTCTCAAAACTACATCAAACTTCAAAATCAAGGTCGTGAGGTCAATTATTATAACACAATCCGAGAAGTCTTCTCACAAGTAATGGACATGTGAAAAAAATATAAAAGCCTTGTCTCTTCTGGAGCATAAGGGTTATGGTCAGGGTTAAATTTTGATAAGTAGCAGGCGCGGATCCAGGAATTTTTTTCCAGGAGGGGTCCTTCCCAGTTAAAAAAAATTCTAACCCAAAAATTTCTTGACAAACAAACAAACAAACAAATAATAATAATTAATAAAATCCCTTCCCAAACGTGCAACACCTACTGTATTTCGTGGTGGTGATGGTAGGGTCCACGTTTTCTGGGGGGAGGGGGGGGGGGTGTTCCAAAGTCATCTATATTTGCTTCAGTATATACTTTTAATAACTCTGGTTAAAGTTAAGGCCATGAGGTCAAAAACCAGAGTATACAATCGGAAAGGTCTTGAAACAGGTAATGCACATGTCAAATGTAAATGCCATATGTTCTCTCGATCAAAAATTATCAGCAATGTTAAAATTCTTGAAAATTAGATTAAACTTCAAGGTCAGTGTCATGGGGTTAAAAATCATAGCACATTTGGAAATGCCTGTCACAGGTAATGCACGTACGAAATATAAATGCCCTATCTTCGCTCCTTCAAAAGTTAGCAACACTGATAAAATGTTTGAAATTGGGTCAAACTTGAAGGTCAAGGTCACGCTGTCAAATATTACTGCACATTCAGAAACATGTTGACACAGGTAATGCACTTGTCAAATATGAATGCCTTATCATATCTCATTCAAAAGTAATCGCCAAAGCAAAATTTTTTGAAAATTAGGTCAAACACAAGGTCAAGATCAAGAGGTCAAAAATCAGAACATGTTCGGAAACGTCTTGTCACAGGCACATTTCAAATATGAAAGCCCTATCTTTTCTCAATCAAAAGTTAAAAATCAAATATTTTTTTTTGTTTGAAAAATAGGTCAATCTTCAAGATCTTCAAGATAGATGTGATGATGTTTTCAGATGAGCACTGTGATTGTACAGTGCAGTCGACTCTGTTTGAGCGAGTCGTTAATTAAGCACAGCAACTGAAAACGAGAGCTTTTCATTGTAGGATGATCCTAATGAATACCCATACTTGTTAACTCTGTACCGGCGGAAGTCTACCGCTTTTTTTTACTCCATCTCCCGCCTACCGCTTTTATTCGTAAATCTACCATTTTTCTACAAAATCCATTTTTCATTTTTTGGTTCGCTTGGGTAGCCATTTTTAAGGTCACTCGTCATAAAATCTCGTTAGAAATAGCGTGATTTGAACTGGGAGCATTCAAACGCTTTTTTTTATCCGATGTTTACACAGATTTCAAGCACGTGTTTGACAATGACAGGTGCACCAATCTCCGTGATTACACTGGTCACGATAAATTTCGTCGACATCCCCGCCAAGAAAAAGGGAGATATAGTATTTCAGAAGTGGGTGAAAACTTTTGTCATCGTTCAGTAAAGTAAAACATAGGTAATCAATGATTACGAAGCTCACCTCCACGAATGTTATCTTTAAGTAAGGCAAATTTCACATATTTTTTTTTATTTAGTGGACATCCCAAGATCAATGTCCATGGAAGTTTGGTTTAAGTACGACTTATAGTTACTTGGAAATAGACCTGTTCAAAAAACGTTTATCCTGTTTACTAATCAAGAAAATTTTGGTCAGTTCCAACATCCAAAGTAAGTCTGGAAGTTTTCATCCTTAGATGCACCATCTATGCAAGTTTAATCATAACAGGCCATAATGTTATATAGCTACTCCAAAAAAATTATCCTGGTCACTCATCTGGAAAATGTAGGTCAGATTCAGAATCGTAAGCAAGTCTGGAAGTGACCATCCCTAGCTACATCATCCATGCTAATTTGGTTAAAATATGGCTAAAATTCACTCATGTGGAAAATCTAGGTCGAATCCAGCATCCGGAGCAAGTGTGGTAGTGTCCATCCCTAGATGCATCATCCATGCAAGTTTGTTCAAGGTAGAGCTTATAGTTACTTGGGAATGGACCTGCTCCAAAAACTTTAACCTAGTCACTCAACTGGAAAATCTAGGTCGGATCCAGCATCCGAAGCAAGTGTGGTAGTGTCCGTCCCTAGATCCATCATCCATGCAAGTTTGGTCCAGGTAGGGCTAATAGTTACTTGCATATGGACCTGCTCCAAAAACTTTAACCTGGTCACTCATCTGGGAAATCTAGGTCAGATCCAGCATCCGAAGCAAGTGTGGTAGTGTCCATCCCTAGATGCATCATCCATGCAAGTTTGGTCCCAGTACGGCTTATAGTTACTTGGGAATGGACTTGCTCCTAAAACTTTAACCGGGACGCCGACGCTAACGCGGACAGTATAGCATAAGCTCATCTCGACTTTGTCGAGGTGAGCTAAAAAGGGAATCAGCATTCATTTATAAAACTTTATTTGCATCTCTTCTTTCGTTTTCGGTGATTGTGGGAAATCCATTTTTTTTAACGAAAGATAAGAACTAGTTCTAGATCTGAATTAGGCTAAATAATGTCACCATTCGCTGTATTTGACAACTGAATGAACATTCAGAATCATGCTTCCAGGCTATATCAACTAAGATCACTCTTCAAAAAGCTAAATTAAGCTGCCATTCAAAGCCAAAGTAATGAGCATGAAAAATATCTATATTTATAGACATAATTTATGTTAAAGGTGTTTTTGTCTTCATCATTGCAGTTGATATACAAGTTTAATTATGGCAGTAGTCAATTTAGGCATTACTTACATATATATCTTCTTAAATCGTTGCGTAATTAAAACAATGCGTGCATTGCTATCTCTTTTGAGGTCTGAGTAGGCTAACATGTATGTGAATACTTCATAGAAATCAAGATTTCCCCCTCCACTTTAGGAACAAAAAATCATCTTATTCCTGTTTGATACATACATGATATGTGACAAAAGGAAATGATACATGCTGTTATTGAAGTGTATTATGAAAATGTGGTCTTTTATTCCCAGTGAAATTGTACAATTTAGAAGTAAGCATAGCATATTAATTTAATTACATTGAGTCACCTAAAGCTTCCTACAATAAAAAAAATGTTAACAGGCCCATAAAATTATGTAAAATAAAAATTTGGGGAAAATACTCAGCTTACGAGTAACCTCCCCTTCTTTTCAAATAAACAAGGGGAAATTTAAGTTCATGATGAATGTGGATTAATGAAAAATGTCGGTGTCTTTGAATGCTCGCTCTCTACAATCTGAAACAAGAAAATTGATTAAAAACGATATAAATATGGAATACCCGAGTTTATGACGATATCATCGTAATTCTGCTTTAACAAGGTTATTTTAAAAAAAAAAAATTCACCCAAAACATACCGACATTATGAGTATGCATATACACTGTACATGCACTCTAAAGTTACGGTGCTGATACAGTTTTCCTCAGTAATTGCATTTTTAAAATACTTGTAAATTTTGTGCACAAATTGATCAGTATAAATATCCATACCCCCATTATTCGCGAGACTGATCCTGATCAATTTTTTAAAAAAATAATTATTCATATTTTTACAGTTTAACAAAATTTAAAAATTAGATCTTTTATATAATCTCAGTTTGATAAAAATATTTTGAATGGTTTATTTAAAACTGAGCTAAACACTAATTTAAAATAAATAAAGTTAAGGTCAAAGGAAAGGTCAAGGTAAAAAAAAAAATGATGCATTTGAATAGCTTACATCAGTATTTATCAGCATATGAAGTTTGACACTAATTTAAGAAAAGTGAGGTCAAGGTCAAAGGAATGGTCAAGGTCAAAAATGTTGATGCAGTTGAATAGCTCTTATCAGTATGTACAAACATATGAAGTTTGATAACACTGTATTGAATGGTATCTTTAAAACTGAGCTAAACATTTTTTTAAGAAAAGTAAGGTCAAGGTCAAAGGAAAAGTCAAGGTAAAAAAATATTGAAGCAGTTGAAAAGCTCTCATCAGTATGTATCAGCATATGAAGTTTGATAAAAATATCTTGAATGATTTCATTAAAACTGAGCTAAACACTAATTTAAGAAAACTGAGGTCAAGGTCAAAGGAATGGTCAAGGTCAAAAAATGTTAATGCAGTTGAATAGCTTACATCAGTATGTATCAACATATAAAGTTTGATTACACTATCTTAAATGGTATCTTTAAAACTGAGCTAAACACTAATTTAGGAAAAGTGAGGTCAAGGTCAAATGAAAGGTCAAGGTAAAAAAATGTTGATGCAGTTGCAAAGCTCTCATCAATATCTATCAGCATATGATAAAAGTTTGATAAAAATATCTTTGATAGTTTCTTTGAAACTGAGCTTTGAACAGAGCTAAATGCAAAGTGTGACGGAAAGACAAACGGAAGGACGGAAGACGGACATGA